TCTGCGAAATTTCCAGGGGTTTCCATATTTATTCCCCACCCTGTATATGCCATGCTCTGTTTGCGAAAGCAAACTCATTCCACATAAACACTCAGACGTGCATACATACATACATGTGGAATAAGAGAGAGAGAAAGAGAGAGAGAGAGAGAGAGAGAGAGAGATGAGATCGTCCGGCGCAAGTTCCGGCCAACCGGAATCCATAAAAAGCGTCGCAGTCGTGACCCCGCGTGCGCGCGTTACACGCTTCGTCGACTTCCTCTCACTCTGCCAAAACTACTACTTCTAGACTGTTGCTGCTACTCGTAATTTTGCGGAGAACATCGAAAACGAGTCACTGCAACTTTGCTTTCCAACTTTTTTTAAAGCCTAAAGCAATAACTCGGTGTCCAAAGTTACATTGTTACTCCTTTTCTACTTAACTAATAATTCTTCTTTTATTTTATAAATATGTGATAAATATGTTAATTTAGCTACTTAATTTTTTCAAAATATTTCATTATTATAAGTTCCAAACTTGTCGATAGAAAAAATTTTAGCTGATGAAATAATTCATCCAACAGGAGGTTGCGATTCCTCAAATTTCCAAATGATATCTTATTCAAAATTTTTTCGAGATACTTAAGAATCGTAAATAAAACCTAGTCTAAAGCCAGGTCTCGAGTAATAGAGCTAAACTATAGTCGAGATATGAAAAATAAAGGGATAGAGAGGAGAGATGATGAGAAGAGGTGAACCATGAGAGTAAGAGCTCGATTCTTTGCTAATTAGTGCACACACAGGATTTCGTTTATTTGACCGACTCTTCAGCAGCTTTTTCATTTCACTACGAAATGAAGATTTTCTCATTAGTTTCAAGATCTTTCTACTTTGCTTTTCAACTATTCAGAATAAACGTATCATTTTGAGTTCATTTTCCATCAAAATATTTGTTATTAAGTAATGAACTAATTATGTAACTTAACGTTAAAAAAGGTTTGGAGTTTATTTAATGGATGGTTGGATGCTTTAAAAAAGTACATTTTTATTATATTAATACTATGCAAAAATGTATCCGGTATGATAGAGGAATAGATTAGTTAAACGCTAAATTTATTTCATCACTACGATTGAAATGCGCTTATAGATAGCCTCAGTGATTTTCATGCGTTCATATAATACGCATATTCTTGGGAGGGAGTATAAGGCATGTTGTAGGTTGGACCATGCAGTTCAAAGAGTGGGGACTTGAAGCCTCGCCTTGCTCTAGCCAACCTCCTTTACGTTCTTACCTTTCTCCTCCTCTTTCAAAGCTTATGCAGTCTTATATTTTTTATGTTTTACATTTCGTTTAAAAGTATATATAAAAATTGTAAAATTATCTCATTTAAAACATTTGAAACCTATATTAAAGAATTCTTCTCTTACATCAAAAATTGATTTTTCCATTGAAATAAAAGTAAATCATAATCTATTTTCAATCGAAGAATTTACGATTTTTTACAAATTTACGAATTTTCCAAAAAGAAAGAAAAATTTGGAAAATAATGCTTAAGCAAAACAAGCACACGCGAAAAAGAAAGTAACTAATGAAAGAGTCGCTTGGCGGCAATTTTATGGTAATGATGAAAATGTAGTGTACGTATAGTTTTGAAAAGCCTCGTGCAATTGCTGTATTGCATAACGCCTGCGGCACATTTTCTTAATGAACTGTGTAATAACGTCGCACCCAACTCAGTATTTTTCAGTGCAATTTTTTTAGCCAGATATCTAGCCCGATATTTTGCTGTGTTTATACTGCAGTCATGATATTGCAGTAGCATCGAATACAACTCCTATTAAGAGCTTTTAGAGGAAATTTTCTTTTTTTATGATTTTTTATAAAAATGATCATCAAATAAAGTATAAATAAATACGGTACTTGAAACAATCAATTACGTATGGATCTAATTGCAGAGATTGATCTTTTGAAATGAGATTATGCAAAAATTATATCATTTCAGATTCTTGCAAGTGCGAACATTGCGTACAGTGCTCATAAATTTCAATGCACCAGTAGTCACAGATCCTTTTGTATTACTCGCTCGTTCCTCAGCCAAGCTCATGCTTGCATATAATGTCTCTGTATGTATACGCGTATATTTGTATACTTTACTTGAGCTGGAATATATCTCGAAAAACTTGACTCTCACTGAGCGGAGCTTTAATTATTATACGCGACCTTTGCAGCGATTCGCAGAGAAAGAATATTCATCATGTGACGTTGCAGCGTGAGAAGATGTTCACTTTTACTTGGAGCTCATCTCGTTAACTCTGCGACTACGATTGACAACTTGCAATTCCTATGAGTATGAATAAATAAGAAAAGATAAGCGTGTGAACTATTGGGCTCTAGCAACTATATCAATGAAGTATCTAACATATTTTGCGCATAATTAATAAATTAACCCATTATTTTAATTAATTACTGTCGATCGCATCAAAGCGGTGACAGTAATAAAAAGCGCATGTAAAACTCATCATCAAATAATTATTTTCTACTCTTAACGATTACAGATATTTTTTAGGTTTACCTTTTTCATCCGACAATAGGCAAATTTAAAGTTAATTAGTTATACACAAGGCGTACATTTGCCAATAAAAATCGAAAGCTAAATTTAAAAAAATCAACCGATAGTTGCATATACATTTTCTGTTAGCGTAGAACTTAAAAAATATATGCACATATAAATTCTTCGACAAAAGAAAGACGACGTCGGTTGCGCTCAGAAATCTAAGCGAATTCATGTATAATGTCTATATATAATATGTTGCACGAATATATATGATATATAAACTGACGCGTGAAAACGCATACATACATATACTTAAGAACGCATCAACATTTTACTAAGCGAGAAGGCATTCTTCAATGCACAAAAAAAGGATTTGACAAAGAAGTGTCTTGGTAATTATTCTAGTCTAAGATTGATAGTTCTTTAGACTACTAAAAAATCGATTGAGGTGGTAATTTTGTGGTTACATTTGATTTTTAAGATCTGTATAGTTGAATAGTTAAGAAATTTAACATTAATTAAAGTTCATGAACTTACTTTTTGAATGTAAATTCTCGATGTACGACCTGTCGGGGGAAAAATTTTTTTACGCAGACTATACATGGCTAGCTGTTTGACAATAGAACTCACTAAATGTTTCAGTGTCTTATTTAATATTAACGACAGTGGTAATCCTCGGAAATAAGCTCAATCAATGTACGTATTGAATATGAAAAACAAAATAATATAAAATTATTTTTTACGAATATATATTTTATTATTTATATTATATTATGTAACGAGTACGCGAAGCAGATGATGTTGCATCTGAGCGTAACGAGGGTGCAAAGACTTCTAAGTAAGTCATCTTTTTCGTACACTAGTTGCATACGATATTTTCTCGCGTACGAAGTATTGAATATTTTTTTCGACCTACTGAATGAGGCTTGTTTACCAATTAAACTATTGAACGTTTTTAGCGCTAGTATAATTGCTTGAAAAAACATGTCAACATTCATTTTAGCAATGTGTTTATCATAGCTAATATTAATTACTTTACATTTATAAAAAACTATGGGACTTGGCAAAAAATTTAAAGCGTTGAATAATGTTGGTCCAATACAGAGTAACATGAAAGATAGCGAGAATAATATAAATGACATGAAATTTTTTGCTCCCTTCTTCACTTTTAAATGAATATGAGTATTAATAATTCATATTTGGATGGTGCGATTGTTACTTTTTTTTTAGGGTGATGCGCAGGTTGATGTCATACTCAAAGCTGTTGATTCCATCAATCAGCTTAGTGATTCATATTTAAGTTATCAAAGAATAGTATATTTCTTAACGGGTGCACATATAATTTTTTTAGCAAAACGAGGGATTATAGCACGAACCGGAGGTGATCTAAAATAAATCGATCCAAATTCATTAGAATAAACTGATATTTTTTTGATTTTAGGCGGAAAATATTAAGTAGTTCCCTCAAAAAAATGAATATCGATAAAGGGTCTTGAATTTTTAACCACATATTATTGACAGTGCTTTTCATATATGTGAGAAATTTCAGGAACTTTAACCAAACCATTTCCGAAATATAATTAATCAAAGTTCGGTACTTTAACATGGGATCCCTATGCTAGCGTGTCGAAAAGACGCTATTTTGTGTGATTTTAAAAAAACACATCGATAAAATCTTTTCAAAAACTAGGAAATGATTGTTCAGTATGTACTGAAACATAGCTCAAAAACTGGAAAAACTTGACCATACAGTTTTTGAGAAAATTTGATGTAAAAACATTGCAAAAATAAAAATTTTAACTTTTTGACCTGAAATCCACTTCTTAAGGTTTGAAGGGTCATTTTAAACAAAAAGATGCTCTTGCAAATTTTCTCTAAAATCTATTTTTCGCGAGCTATATACGATTCAAATTTTAGTACTTTACGATACTAGTGGCATAAGTAACACTTTTTGGCGCGGCGTAGTTTCCTAATAGCTGGGCCGAAATGTGTCTCCACGTCACGAGTATCGTACTAGTACTTTACGATACTAGTGGCATAAGTAATGCGAGTGTGATGCGAACGCAGCGGTGCCAGAATGTGCGACTTATGCCACCAAAAAGCGTGCCATAAATGTGAACTTATGCCACGCAGTGCTATAAAAACAATTCCAAGCAATGAATCTTTGCGATTTTTTATCTTAATAAGTATGAACTCTACAAAAAATTTAAAAAAAAAACAAGTCTTAGAATTTGCCAAGGAAAGCGTATGAGTTTTTTCAGATTTTTTCTAGACATATGCCCGAATTGGTAGGTCAGGTTCTGAAGAAACTACCTCAAATAATTACTGAAAAAACAGTTTCAAATAGTTTGAAAAAATGAATAACGATTATTTACATGACTTTACATATGGGTTTAAAGGTTATAGAACTCATAAATAACGCAAAAACAGAACGTAAGACTCTTATAATTTTTGTGTGTTTTACAGGGAATGGAACTCGACGAACAACGTTCGAGTACAAGAATCTTGGCCTACGTGAGCGGGGTTCACAATGAAACAATCGAATTTTCACCAAGACGACAACTCAAGTTTCTAGATCGACTTGCAGTAAATGGTGAGAATTCTCATGATATTCCGAGACATTTTTCTGCAACTTGACTTTCTAGTGCTCTAAGGAGTTGAAAAAATATTTCATTTATTTTTGTTTCTGAATTGACAACGCTTGAGTACAATGCATTTATTATTGGTAGTCTGTTACTGCTAAAAGTTTGTGATTATTTGTTTGTACACGTGATGAACTCAGGGTGTAATTATCTGAATTAAACTTTACCACGCTATTATTCAATATGAAAAAATTCATGCAGTAGAGTATATTGAAGGAATAAAATACATATTTTCAGTCATCGCGCACATTTTCTAGATCGTTGAATACATGAAAAATAAAATTATCAATTTTATTTGCTTCATAATAAAATGTAAATTTATCGAAAATTGAAAGTCATTTTCCCTTTTAAGTTTGATCAAGGCGTCAACATTTTCATTCCAAAACCTACTGACCGTTTCATTTTTCATTTCTCGATCCAAAAACTTACAGGTACAACGCAACCGGAGATGAAGCGTTATAGAAGTATACGCACCTAATATTGCTGAGTCATGAAAAGCCGTCATATGTTTTTTCTCACCCTTGGGAGATTGACTCGTCACAGTAGATAATGCGAACGTCTACCTAAGGGTAATGGGTTATCGTTGCGAGTTGGTAATTAACTAGACAGTGTTGATGCTGATATAGCATCAACAAAAAAAACCTTTTGCACTAAGTCGAATCGTTTGTTATCAGTAAAGATTGTTTGTTAAAATAGTCCGTCTCCTTTTTCTTAGATCTACAATCTTGTTCAAAGTCTGATTCATTACTTTGATAAGATAATTTATGCTAAAAATTTAATCGAATTAACTCTAATTATATGTGACATAAATGCATCAAACACGGTAAATCGTTTCCCTGATAAGACGTATCATTTGATTATTGGCGTTAATCATGACTAGCAAGTGTAGTCTACATGTTCATTAGACTCGTATAAACAATATGCATTTGATATTCTCTTCAAAAATGTTAGCAATCTTATACTTTCGAAGTCACGTCATCTTAACTCCCATCAGAATCATATACAACGGTATCATGACAATCTTAAAAAGTCGAAATGCGTCAAAACTTCTGCTGATTTCTTTTAATAATCCCTGTGCGCGCGTGCGTATCAATCTATATAAACTCTCGTTTTCTTCTCTCGCTCTGGCTTTGCTCGTCTCTTTCGATGGAGCTCGTTACACGTCGTGACTTTGCGCTTCCCATCGGCCCTTTTCGCCCATCACGCTTTGCCGCATGACTCCTCCTTCCACCGTCTCGCTCTCTCGCTCTGTCCGATTAACTGAGAGGTTTACCCGACAAGAGATGAAGGGTGAGAAGTTCGATTGGTCCGGCTATATTTATTCGTCAGATAGTCGATTGAAGTAATCATATACCGTATACTAGAATATGAGGAAAGCTATGGACTTACGCTGTTTTACCACTTACCTGTATATATTTGATAATTTAGTTTAGCCTCTGTGTTTCGGAGTGTCAATTACATAGTAATTTGGTTCGCGTCACTTTTTAATTGCATCTCAAGATACACATCATCAGAAATTAAGATTACACGTTGCAAAGTCGTACATCACCCGCGAGCTTGGATATATTATTTGTTACTTACTCGTATTGCATTTCACATCTTGAAAGTCATTTTTCTGCCTGATCATCCACTTATTGGATCTGTTAAATACTTATGTTCGACCAACGGGATACATATCCACAGATAGACGTGCCACTAATTTTTGAGTGTGATTTCGAAAAAAAAATACATTGAACCTAATCTATTACAAGGAAAATGATGCTGAAAGAGTAAACTAACGAGAACGCTCATTTTACGGTTTCAATGATCATTTTTAAGTATTAAGAAAACTTTTAATTAGGGCTACTGCTTAATCCAGCTTTAATGCAGTAGATAAGAAAGATTGTCACAACACAAAATTTGTTCTAACATCAAGTCACAACTTTGCGTAATGTACTTCAGTACATTTAAATATTAGAATTATTAATGTAACTATTTGTAGTTTTGAACTTTACAAAAATATTAATTACATTTTTGGAGACACGTACACGTGATGGAGTGGCTGAGTAAAAATTTTAAAAATCTCTCATTTATTCCATACAATAAACAAAATTATTTTGTTGTACTTCAAAATCGTCACTACGTGCGTTGTTAAAAAGAACGTTTACATTGCTAAACGAGTCATAATCATTAATTTTGGGAGAACATCAAAAGATTTTTTGAACAGAAAAAAAGATAAAAGGAAATAATTAACATGACAATAACAAAAATCACGGTGGAGGTTTCGTTAATTCTTATAGAAAAGAAAAAAATAAGTATAATTTGAGTGAACATATTTGTATCTGTCTGAACTGTCTAAATCATATATAGTCAACATTTCAGGCGATGCGTGATATGACTTTTCTCTACACGATCCATTAGTCACACAAGTCGTGCGAACGATTTTTTCGAAAGAGTTGTTCATAACTTCCGTCACGAGGTTTCTGAGAAGGCTACGTTAGTAGTTCATCCAATGGTTCCACTCGTTAATAACTGCATGGTTTCTATGCACAGTAATATATCGTTTTTTAATACTCAGACAATACAATCATTCTTAGTTTATATTGTTTTTTTTTCAAATCTAAGAAAATATCGCGTTTTTGCTATATTATATAGCTTTTAGCCATAAGATAACGGCTCAACCAGCTTGTCATTTTCCAGAAGTCTCAATTTCCCCCTCTCTTTTCTTTGTTACTCTTCTGTCGATGACACGAGGCATTGTTATTATGCTCTCTTTCCTTCTCGCACTCTGTTTTACTATGACAAGTCTTTTCGATCCTTCGCTAGTCGAGAAGCGCGATGACGTATAAGTTGTAGTAATACTTTAACCACCGATTCACTTTTTACAATCGGAAAAGAGAAAGAAATTTAAGACGACCAATGGAATTATGCCCGATATTGTTCGGTTTTCATTACTGCATAAGCCAGTTTTGTATTTCCTTTTAAAGCAAACTTTTGCAAAAACGGATTATCCTGCAATTTTATCATAAAATTATGAATATTTCATTGCTGATGAACCAATAGTTTGGACAATTTAAAAACATTAAACGGAGTATAAACTCGGGCAGATATACTTATACCATGCATAAACATACGCAATACTTCTCGTCTAGTGCGTCTCTGCAAACTTGCACGATTCGTTGTCGGGGCTGTCAGTAGCAGCGGCAGTAGGAGGTAGGAATACCGTCGGTACGCCACTACTATATATTTCTCTCTTTCTGTCCTTGTCTTTCTCCACGGAGCGTTACCACAAAAATAATTACCAGCGCAGAAGCGCCTGTGTAGCTGGCGCGCGCGCCCTCCGGGACAGCAGACTTGATATATCCTGAAGCCGAAGTCTATTGTGCCAATTGCGCGGGCGTGGATGCTCGGTATAAATGACGCCTCGATAAGCCCGAACGCCCGACTTGACGCTAATAAAAATTCATTCGCTTGAAGTAGCGGAAGAAAAGTCGCTGTGGGGCAGACATTTCATAGGTGTTATGTTAATTCGTATAAACTATGATTTCATTGTCAAATCGCTAAAGGTGTGAATAAACGTACTGTTAATAATTAGTTAATATTATCTACGCGCCTGCATGTACTTGATTAAAGTAAAAACAAAAAGATAATGGGCACAATGCAGCAAAAATTAAAAAAGACATCATTCACGCGAGGATGAGTGTAAATATACTCTGAATCCAAATCCCTTTTAAGCACAAATGTATACGTGAACGTCATAACTGTGAAAGTGCATGCATTAATTTCGACCAAAGAAACCTGTAATTACCCATTGAGAAAATTATCAGCAGCGACCCGCATAAACATTACATAAAAGGTTACAATATATATTCGAATGCTTTCATTACGTACCCATACGTGCACTCACAGATGTACGTACACATTTGCCAATACAAAATGAATATCATCGCTCCACGCGTGATTCTAGCGAGATCGAATCTCCCGTGGGGTTAGTATCACTGTACATTCGGTTGCACCTCTGCAGTTTTCATAATCATCTCGTGGAATTAATAAAGCTTCGGAGCAGTGGGGTGATTGTGAATTATCATTGCATTTATATCGTGCCGACTCTCTAGGGAGATTGAAGGTTATTTTTCTCATAACAAAAAGTACATTTTTGACGGTTTGACGCGTTGGAACAAGGTATTTACCGAGCTACAGATATCCCCGAGGAATGATTGTCTTGGGCACAGGGTTTAGTGTAATGCTCCGTAATAACAACCTAATCGAACAGTCAATTTACGCTTCAATGCATCATCAAAAAATCTTAACAAAGAGACCTTAGTGGCAAACCCTTAATTAAAGTGAATTTTTTTTAAGCATTAAAATATAATCAATAAAAAACTAAACAACAGGAAAGTAACTAATACTTTTTGATTTTTTTCAGATCCAAACTGCTGCGAGTATCAATGGAATCTAAAACTGATTTAACTGAGACCACTTCATAAATAAACGGAAAAACTCATATACATTCAAGCTCGTTTTAATAAATTTTTATGTAGATTTCGATTTAATAATGTATAAAAATGTAAGTGTTGAATGATCTTCGTTGAAAAAGCATTAATAGCACTCAGAACAACTTTTTAATGTAAATACATTTAATAATTATAATTAAATAAAAAGTGTAATTAATCGACTGCCCTTGAAGTTGTTAAATATTAATCACATTTACTTACACATCTTTATTATTAAAATAATATTAAGTATTTGAATGTTTTTAAAAACAAAGGATTTCAAACGGATAAGTGGCGAACGACTTGGCATCCATTTACGGTCAACGACTACCCTCGGAAGTAGAACTAATTCAGGCCCAGAAGCTCCTTAAGCACAAACAATCCTAGCAGCAAAAGGCTTTGGAAACGTGCATTCGTACTCCCGAACTTGAGCGTAATTAGAATAGCGCAAGCCTGTGCGATTGCTGCTATTCTACGACTAAAGTATGAGAAAGCGCGATCTCACGGAGAAAGCTTGCACATGCAAGCTCTCTCTCTTTTCATCTCTCTCCCTCCTTCCTTCTGGTCCCTACTGTTACTTAATTAACAAACTTGTGACTCTCCTCTAATTAGTAACAGCTTAGGACAAATATCATTTGCGCTCTAGACGCTAAATAATTTGATTCGCTAAAGTATAGGAAGTTCGTCTTCCTTCGTCACATGTACGTTATATGCTTTATAAGTCACTGCATTAATTAAAGCAAAAAACTTCTTTGAAACGCCTAAAATATACTATTGGTTAGACTTCATCAATATTCAACCAGAACAAACTTCATTTTTCGCTTAGCTGTTGGTACGTAACTCAAAAAAAGCGTACTTTTGCGCTTACGTGTACAAACAGATGAATTACCTTCAGGGGCATCTGCTCTCTCACGTTGTTGTAGAAACAAGCAGCTAATCCCTCTCACTACATCTTCGCTGCGAGTTTACGAATTAAAATAGAGAAGTATGTAAGTGAATAAATCTTTGAATGTTGAATGTCCTCAATGTAAATAAAATTCTTTTTTTTAGCCAATTTACTTGTTTAACGTCAAAAAGATAGTACATATAATATTCAACTAAGTAAACAGGACACGAAACTTGAAAATATAGTACAATAAAGTTTTTTGTCTACTTGTGCAAGTTTTAAACGCAAGAGGGAGCAAGAGAGCAGAGAAAGTAACTATATATGTACTGGCAGTGTTGCAATCTGACTGGCTGTACTACTAGAGCTCGCCTGATTGGCGCGATGCTGGATATCGACCACCCGGCTCAAGGGGTGGTTAGGGGCTCGGCTTTGTTTTAGCTCATACCGCGCTTGTGCGACGCTCTACCACTCCTTGTCATCCTCCTCCTCCGCCTCTTCCTTCCCGTTGAATGTGCGCTTCGCAGAACTTAACCTTGTGCTACTTCGTACGTATATATTTATTTTGCGTACACAGACTACATGTTTTTGTAATAACTTTTTCCATTGTTTTTGGATAATAAACCAAACTTTTTTTTTATCTGCTAATTTTCAAAAAATAGTTTTATAATGTAATGTTTAACGTCGTAAAATTTTTGCTGCTATGAACACGAGTTGATAAAATTGATAGTTAAAAAATGTCTAATTTTTTTCACGCAGGATAAGGAAATAAAATAAGAATATTGAAAATCGACCCAAAAAATTTAACAACTCTATTAAAAATCTCATTTATAAATCATGCGTATATATGCATGATTTCAATCACTCCCTCTACTCCCTAGTTTTTTGAAGTTTTATGTTTTATGCATGCTTAGATGCTTGTTCGCCTTCATTTCGATTGCAATTTCATCGAAAATGGGGCCTGTAACTAATATACCTGTATCGATTTATAACGCGTATCGGTATGTTTTTTAAAGCCGAACGTACCCGATCTCTGTATGTTCATAATACAGGTCAGCATTATTAATTTTGATAACGCTGCATATGCTTACATATGAGTACTGATTAAGAGACGAGAAAAAAGCAAGGGCGGGCCTTGTCAATCAATGAATAAACTAGCTTGAATGATTATCTTGTGTAGCAATTACATATTGAGCTTGGCTTGGAGTTGAAAAAATTTGCCTCGAAATTCTATGGAAACTTTTTGCGCACTAAACGTTATAGCTTATTCGATCTCTCGTTAATTAGTAAGCTTTTCCTGGGAGTTGCTGTTTTTCACAATTGTTCTTTATCGACATTAATTTTGTAAGTTTTAAAAAGTTAAATTTTTTCCCATTTTAACTCAGTTAACTTACTATGGTTATTTCATGTGGAAATTCGAGTATTTGGCAAGTTATATTTAAATATAGATGAAATATTTTTCACTTCAAATCGGTCATAAACGGTCATAAATTAGTAATTAATTTTACAAATGTGTGGGCCTAATAAGTAGAAAGTCATTTTTCAAATTTTGCGATAGCTATCTATGTGGGGGGTCCAGTGTTCTATATACATGGTATTCAAAATTAAATTGAGCTGGTACGCAAAGCAGGCGTGCGTGGGAATGCATTCGCAGCGATTAAGATCGCACTAAACAGTCCTCATCTAAATTTGATTTATTTTATAATTATTTTAACACATCCATTTAATCAATAATATTGTACATATTAAAAAATTATTATGACGAACTCGTCAAATTTTGTCGTTTTTCCGAATTAACGCAGACGCTTGACGATTTTTGTATCTTCTAATAAAAATGTGAAAGCCAAAGGTATTTGCGTCTAATAAACATTACCAAGGGTAGGCAGATGTATTTTTTTTTTGGCCTTCGAGACCAGAGCTCAACGACTGGCCCCCGCGATTTTTTCATTATCGTAAGAGCCGATTGCATTTTTTGCGTTCCCCATCTCACCGCATAAGGACAGCGATCTAATCGGCTGGCGCAACCCCTACGTGGTTCTCGACATACAATCCCCTGGATCTTCAGCAGCGACGCAGCAGCTTTTCCTTTTATCCGTAGCCCTGTTCCGCGCACAGACCGATATCACTTTTCTCCTTTTTTGTCGTTCGATGGAGGATCGTTTAATTTACTTTTTGTATATTGAAGATTTTGCTGTCGTTACCCGTTGATTTTACTATTGTAAATCGAATTGATTCGCATTATCAGCAAAATGGTTGTGTACAATATGCCGTGAAAAATTATTTTCCTATAAATCGTATATTTACCTGAAAATAATACTTTTTTAAATTTAATGCATGATTTCATGACGTCGAAAAATCGAACTTTCCAAGCGCCCTTTTGTAAATGAACCTTGAATTTATTTTGTTTAACCTAGGCACGGCTCAGTGGACACAAGAAAAAGCTCTGGTTTGCCATGTGGAAAAAGAGACCTCTTTGATGTTTAGAAAGCTACGAGCTTCTTATGCCAATTATTTTCAGGATTACATTTTTATTTCTATATTGATTACGAACGATACTACATGAAAAAATCGTACTCTTTATTAACGGCTCAAATGTACCTTAAAATTGAAAAACTTTTATTGCTTTTTTTAAAACTTTAAATTGTTGATTTCTTGCTGAAATACAACGGTTTCCGTGAGCCTACTTTGTATAATCAATGTGATACATTTTTTCTTCTTTTGCGTTTTCTCTCAAATCATGTTTTTCAAAAACTGATCTGAATTTCAGAGCGAACCATTTGAGCTACAGCGCTCAAATGTCGTACACTTTTTTAAAACATCAATGGTTTCAAACCACTTACAAAATAATTGAAAACTTATTAGGTCGCTCTCTATCAGTATATTTATAATGGAATTTGTCAAACAGTTATGGTCAAGTACATGCTTAGAATAAACTACGTGTTCAAACATTTCAGAAATGATCTTACCTGTAACCATTGATATTCTGGAAAAGTGTACACAATCCTAGCACTGTAATTTAAATGGTTTATCTGAAACGGAAATAAAACTAATTTTTGGAAAACTAGAAACCTCAAAAAGTGCAAAAAAAGAAAAACTTTTACTGACAATATATAAAAAAAATATTTACGGAAAAAGCTGCATCAAAAAGAGAAATAAAAATTACGGAGTTGAAAAAAAACGATGAAAATGGTAAGAAACATCCCTTCCAAAAATTTTTTTTTCGATTTGAAGGCACCTTTGAGCCCTTATCGAATCAGAAGAGACGTTTAAAAGTATTATTAACATCATTAAAACTTTAGCTGAATACTTATTTTACTTTTGCATCAATTTAAAAACTATTATTTAAATTTAATTTTTATGAAAATTAAAAAGTAAAAATGATCAATTGAGTACTGAGGAAGGCTACAGTAAACAGTATTTGTTCGGTATTTTAAAAATTGTGTTATGCGTTACAATTGTGTACGTAAGTCCAGTATTTCTTTGATGTACTGTGCTTAGCGCGAATAACCACATGTAATGTTGAGATTCTAACTGCACACAGCGGCGACATGTGTACGAGTACATACATGCACGTGTCACGGCTTACTTCGATCGGCGCTAACGCAGAGTCTCCCAGAGGGGTTTACTTGCGTTAATGTACGGGCTATCTAGCTATAAAAAGGTGGATATGAGATAATTGAATACTGCTTTTATCATTTCCTAGTGGTCTACAAAATTGAACTGAATCATCATCGTATCTTGATAGAAATCTTCATCTTTCGATAAGGATTTTTATTAATTCAGACCAAATTGCGTCATAACTTTCCGATGAAATGCTAATAATTGGAACTTTGTGTGATGAATATTTTCTAAAATCATTAAATGATACATTTATCAACTTTAAATGTAAATCAATTTTAAAATCAGCAAGTAAAATGTGAACGTGTACACGACACATTGTGGAAAGGGTGATACAATCGATGCAAGCGACATGTACGAATGCGTGCTTGTGCCTTGCATTTAAATTCAAGCTCTGATACGAACCGGCATCTTACGTATGTTTTATACCAAGCTCTGTGGCTAATCTTAGAATGCACGCGTGGCATTGATGATGAAACGTAGATTGGCAGGATGAGCGTGGACCCTGTGCTAGTAGCCTTGATGAAAACGACGAGTGCGCTAGGCGTGAGTTGATTTAACTAAGCTCGTGCAGATATCGCTGCAGACTATTGTCGCGAGGAGCTCGTGGGGTTGCATTTGACAACTGTAAACTAGTTACTTTTGTTGTGGCTTCATGTGGGCGTATAATATTATCGAGAAA